TTTGAGACACTGTATACGATTTTTCAAAAACCAAATAGTTTTGAAACCCACCGTAGGTGTTTCATTTTTTTTGCCCACGCTGTATTTAGGTAAGTATGTATATAGCAGCTCATAAAGTTGCTGGAAGTCTCGGGCAAAATAAATCCAATTGCTTTGCGTGAATTTCAAGCTTTTACTGGTTGCGACACGGTAGTTATTTTTTGGATCTAGGGGCAAACGCAAAGCATGGGCTGTTTGGGAAAATGATGAAACTTGAAACTACTGACGTACCTATTTGAAGTTTTAGCTGAATATCGTGAGGTATTGAGAATCTAAGGCATTATGAGTACACCAGAAAAATACACGATACAAATCTGTACCTCAGAGGTAAATTGTATTAAGTCATAATATTATAAATTAATATACTGACACAGTGATTCTAGTACAATTTACCTTTAAGCCTAATGAGTCACTTGACACAGGTTCCAACTAGGTATTTCGGTTGTCTTAAAAGCTAGGTGTATGAAATTTTTCCCGGAGATCAAGTAAGTTATTAGAAGTAGTATTCAGCTAAAAACCCATTTTCGAAAAAAAAGTGACTTAATACAGTTTACCTCTGAGGTACAGAAATGTATAATAACAGCAGCGATAAATATAGCGTGAATGAGCTAAGCAAGGAACTTTTCTGTTGTGGTAATCGGGCAATAAGCTCTATTCCGCCTACAGCGGGAGCTTCTTTAGACTATAGAGCACTGAAGCGAGCAGCCTATCAAGCTGGAAAAATCTGGGGACAAGCCACTCATATGACCCAAGATATTTCTGTCCCTAAAGACTAGGGTTGGACATACCTATATGGGTGAAAGATGGCAACCAAAATGGAGAACATTACTCGAAATTTGGAGTGACTTCAAGTATTTGCAAAAGTATGGCTGCTAGTCAGAGTGCGATAGTAGAGGGGGATGTTGCTACCTTGCACACCTGCTTGCTATTGGTCCTGAAGCATTTTATTTGCCAAAATTAATTACTTGAATAATTTTCGCTATTAAACAATATATCACACGCCCTAGAGGAGATTAATATACGGAAATGTAAAAAATTGGGCCGCCATTTTGAAGAAACCCCCTAACAGAGGAGCAGTATTCCATTGAATGTTTTAAAATAATATTTTAGATATCTCAGGACCTCAATCAAAGTAAAAAATGGTCTAAAAAACAACTATGCCAAATTTCATGCTTTGTAAGTACCACAATTTACCGTTTTTTTTTTTTGCTTACCGCTAGGACTATTGAGGGAAAATGGAGTAGATAAGTAGACTTAAGTATCTATGTGTTTTTTCTATTCCAGGCTCTTGAATTTTTTTTTATGTAGAGGTAGGTATTTAGAAATAAACATTTCAAGAGCCGGCAAAAATTTAGACATTAAAAAGCAGAAATTTAGGGAAAATCGAGTAGATATGTAGACTTACGTATGTTGTTTCTATTCCAGGCTCTTGAATTTTCTTTATGTAGAGATATTTAGAAGAATCAATTCAAGACCCGGGAATACAAAAAAATTGAGACGGAAAAATTCAGAAATTTAGAGAAGAAATTTAAGGAAAATTGCTAAAAAGCAGAAGTATTGATATTGATAAGCATTTGATATTTTAGTTCAAATTTTTCAATGTGTAATATCTCAATATCCATGAGAGGTATAGTGCCAAATTTTTCTAATGTTGTAGCTTTCATTGGATGCTTTATTGTGGTAGGTAGGTATTGAACTTAGTTACTTTTATTCCTGTAACTTAGTACCTACCTTTATTTTTTAATTCAGAATCTTTAATGTGTAATAGTTAGGGAGACGACCGCATTTTTCCTACCCCGATCGAGTTATGTGTCGACACTATTATCAATATATAGTATTATGTGCATCTATTAACCAGTATTCCTGCCTGAGAGCAAATGCTGCCGGAAATATATTTTAACAAATTATTAACAAATTTAAAAAAACGTAACACTACCCCCATCGAGTTATGCCCTAAGTAGGGTATCAGATTGAAGGTCTCGATGTCCCCTATCTAAAAAGTCGAACCTGCCTCGTGAGAACTTGCCGGAAAAGGGTGGCAGGGCAGCTTATTGGGGCAAGGGCCCGCGGTCTCAGCTTTGACACCTATCAAGTTTTACCCTGAATGATGTTTCAAATTAAAGGTGTTAATAAGTTGATTTAAGGTCTCTTTGCACAGAAATCCCAAACCAGAAGGAGTGAATTTCATTGGTTGAAACTAGTTTCCTGACTGTTTCCAACCAATGAAATTCGCTCTGACTGGTTTGTGATTTCTGTGCAAACAGACCTTAAATCAACTTATTGACACCTTTAATTTGACACATCATTTAGTGCAAAGCAGTGCAAAGCTTGATAGGTGTCAAAGCAGAGACCGCGGGCCCTTGCCCCAATAAGCTGTCCTGCCACCGTTTTCCGGCAAGTTCTCACGAGGCAGGATCGACTTTTTGGATAGGGGACATCGAGACCTTCAATCTGATACCCTACTTCGGGCATAACTCGATGGGGGTAGTGTTACGTTTTTTTCAATTTGTTAATAATTTGTTAAAAGATATTTCCGGCAGCATTTGCTCTCAGGCAGGAATACAGGTTAATAGATGCACATAATACTATATATTGATAATAGTGTCGACACATAACTCGATCGGGGTAGGAAAAATGCGGTCGTCTCCCAGACTATAATATCTCGATATCCATAATAGGTATCGAGCCAATTTTTCCTGAGATTATAGCTCTGATTAATTGGATACTTCAATGTGGTATATAAAAAATATTTGTAATACCCATGGTTTTTGAGCAATTCAAACTTGAAGTTTCGAATGAAATTTTGGTAAAATTCTAACTTTGACGCTTTGTTTTCCAAAGCCTATGAAAGCAACTGAAGTCATATTTGGAGGATTTATAGAGAATTTAATCTTCTTTCAGAATATCCATAATTTAGGTTGATTCGTTAGAAATTACGGAAATTGTGAGCATGACAGGACATCAACCATTTTCTATTGCTAACAAGGATTTTTTTTGCAATTTTTTAAATCTGCTTTTTGAGAAAAAGTAAGACTTCTTTTAGACTAATTTTAACCTCTTTCGATTGGAAAAATCAAAGTTTGAAAAAAGTTGAAAATAGAAAATTTCGTTTTTTTAAATACATATTATGCCTACTTACCGCTTTGATATTTTAATTCAAATTCTTCAATGTGTAATATCTCAATACCCCTGAGAGGTATCGAGCCAAATTTTTGTAAGGTTTTAGCTCTCATTGGATGCTTTAATAGGGTATTTAAAATATTTATACCACCACCAGAGGTTTCTGAGCAATTTTAACTTGAAGTTTTGGATGAACTTTTAGCAAAATTCTAACTTTGAGGCTCAATTTCTCAAAGCCTATAAAAGCAATTGAATTCAGATTTGGAGGATTTATAGAGAATTTAATTATCTTTAAGAATATTTATAATTTAAGTTGATTCGTTGGAAATTACGGAAATTGCAAGCAAATGTTTGAGATCATGTCAGGATATCAACCATTTTCTATTGCTAACAAGGATGTTTTTTTTTGCAATCTTTTAAATCTGCTTTTTGAGTAAATGTAGGACGTTTTAGACTAAGTCTAACCTCTTTCAAAAAGTCAAAATTTCAAGAAAGTGGAAAATAGGAAATTTCGTTTTTTTAAATACATACCGTCAAACGGGGTTAAGTGAACCAAAAATTGCGGTATGTTGTTGATATTTTTGTAACTATCGTAACAAAAAGTATGCAAAAAATACTGTATATATTCTAGCACCCTTTCCAAAGAATTCTACAAAATATTGGCCCTTTTGGAGTATGGGAACCTCCCCTTTTTTTAGGTCAAAGGTTGATTCACTTTACCCGACAGTGTGGGGTAAAGAGAATCGACCGTTCAAACTTGCGATCTATTCATTTTAGACTAGTAATGCGTAAAGTGAATCAATTCATAAGATTTAAAGAAGTTTCGCACAAGGTTTTGTAAATTTTATTGTATTATTTCATAGCTTAACTCATCAGCTCAGATCCGCTTGGTATTCTCAGCTTATTTAACAGTGAAATAATAAAATGTCGTTTTATAAATGTTTTAAGCCAGTCGCATCCTAGAAAATTTTTTCGGTATCTTTTTCGAGTCAGTCCCAACTTGCTAACCTATTTGTTTCACAATTCCCCTGTTATCATTTGATTTTAGAGTAAACCCCCACTGTGCGCGTATCAGAAGCAAAGTTCAAGATAATCCTTGACGCGAGCTTCCCCATTTAGCACAGGTTGGCGACCATCTTTCAAAGAGTGGACTTTGAGAAATCGTCTCTGAATGGTACTTCATCTTGTTAAGAAGCTTTACGCATGTCCATGCGCTTCTGAGCATTGCCCTGAGGCTCTTACTTTTTTTGCGATTCTAGGCATTCTAAAGAAAATACTGAAAATACAGCTCTAGACAATTATTTAGGATGAGAAAGAAATAGGGGTAGATTTTACTGAAACCTCATACATTTATTTCAAACTCCCGATAAAAATTAATTTCAATTTACTCTCGGGTTCATTCTTGTTTATTTTTATTTTATTTTGCAACTGATTCATTTTACCCCCTGTTGTGTTCATTTCAGGTTCGAAAAATCATATTTAGGTGACCATATAAGTAAAATCAAAAAAACCTTTGGGAACATGTTGCCTACATGACTAGGGTACACTTTTTATCAGTCATATATCCAGAAAACATACCCCTTTGTTCCTGCAACTTAACCTTTTCGACTTTTACCCACATTACAAAAAAACATATGTTTAAAATACGTTCATTCTGGTTCACATGTTTTCGAAATGGATGGCATACCACCTCACAGCATCAGTTAGTAATAACAATGGTAATAGTATATTACATACCGAGGTGGAAAGTGTTTCATTACTGTCGAGAGATTTTAGTAAGACCGAGGCGCAGCCGAGGTCTAACTAAATTCTCGAGACAGTAATGAAACTTTTCACCGAGGTATGTATACTATTTTATTTACAATCATTCGAATTTTGAAATTTTTATTTAAATTAAAACTAAAAAAAGACAATAATTAACAATTTCATTTACTTTCGGCCCACGGGAGGAAAGTAAACTTTCGACCCGTGAGCCGAAAGTAAAAGTCAAAAAATACAATAAATTTTAAAAATTTCATTTACTTTCGGCCCACGGGTTGTGAGTAAACTTTCGACCCGTGGGCCGAAAGTAAAAGTCAAAAAAGTGACATTTTCAAACTTTTTAAAAGTCAGTAAAGTCCTTGTATAAAGTCCAACATTACATGTATGATTGTGAATAATAGTTATTTATTTTCCATATTTTCCAAATTTCGACTTTTCCAATCGAAATAGCGGATCTAAATTAGTGAAAAAACAATCTATCATCATCTTCAAATGACCATTTCAATCAAAAAAGAAAATTTCAATTTTTAAAAATCCTGACAAGCTTAAGGAAAAATGCCAATATTTTCAATGTAATTCAAGCAAATCAAAATAAATTATACACCTATAAAAAGAACATTAAACTCTCTATAAATCCGGGCTAAATTGATTTGGATAGCTCGTATACTTTCTCAAAGTTGAACAAGACTTTGTAATTACATGATGAGAAAGAACTTGTTTTACATCTTCAGCCCTTGAACATGACTATTCCAAATATGTTTAAGGAGTTTTTGAGATGTGTTTTTAATGCACTTAAAAAAACTAAAAACTCATTTATTAGTAAGTAATCTTTAAATTTAAAACAATCTCCTAAAACATGAAACGCAATCCAATAACTAACAGTAAAATATTAAAATCCAATAAAATTAACATAAAACATTTTCTTGTCTAGCAAAATTGCAAATTTTTTCTTTAGAAAAACATTGAAACAAAGTTCTGATAGTATTCTTGCCAGGCCATCATTTCCAGATATTTCGGACAGTATTTTCTGGTATGTGAATATGAACCTGTTGCACCACACAAACTGCAAACATACCTGAAACATACAAATCTAAGCCACTTAGTTTTAAATTTACAAAATAAAACTTTACCGTCTCAAAGTTGGACAAACAACCAACCCATCCAGCGACTTCAAAATGTGGCTGGAAAATACAATTTTTGGCTCGCCATTTTTCAAACAAAACTGGCATATGCTTGATTTTTTGTGTTTTTTCTTTTTATGTGCAACTGCAGGATCCTAGAAAAAAAAGTATTAATTATTGAAAATCGGGTTTAATTACCTATATATTTTGAGTTTTACTTGAGTCAAAGTTGAGTCTTCAATAAATGTTACAGATGATATGAGACCAAATGCTGAATCTGTCCATGTTGGAGATACATTGTTATTGGAATCGCTGTTTTGATAAACTGAAGCTAAAGATAGTTTATTCATTAGAAATTGCAAAAAAAAAATAGTTTGCTTTATTACCTGATCTAGCAGAAAAGCTTCCAAAACTGCCACTAGTAACCACACCACTGTCAGGATTTTCAACAGCAGTTTCTTCAGATTCGTCCATAAACGATAATAGATTAGTGAAAAAGTTGTTTGAAAATAATTCATCATTTTCGCAGTTTCCTTCAGGATCCATTTTAATTTAGATGTTTAAGCTAAACCAAAACTCATATACTGAAGATAAAAATAATTATTGTTTTCCTTTTCGAACAACTAGTTTAGTGGAAAGCCGGTTTTTTGAACAAAAAGAGATAGTAGGTACCTTATAAATAAATGTTTGTTTATATTATTGAATGTGAAATTTATCACTATTATTAGGAATTCTAAAAATATAAAATTAAATTTGTTCCAAAATCATCAAACTGGCTGGTCTAATTTTATGGAAAATTCTATTAAAATTAAATAGATAAGCATTTATTAGTATGTACACTTTATTTTTTCCCAAGATAGATTTTGACATTGAAAACTTTGAAACATAAACAATAACGCTTGACCCTGATTGGTCGCAAAATGAGGTGTTTCTGCATAGATATTAAACATTCGTTCCAAAAAATTGGTAAAATAGGTTCGATAAACAAAAATTCCCAAAGCCACCCTATTTGGTTCTATGTAACGCCAATGCGTTGCATTCAGATGGTTGCTATAATCAATTTATTCACATCCACCTGTTAGCATTATTGATAACATGCTATGACTTTTAGCCACCGAACGTATTGACATTGGCACGTAATTTTAAAAATCTCTCCGCTTTTATAGGCGAAACTTGTATTTCCTGAATTATTAAAGTTATACGGCTGTATGCAACATCCTCTTTTAACTTAAAAGTGCTTTTTAAAACTGGTCACTTGTATAAATGTGTTTTCTAAGCCATAAATTATTATAAAGGTACCAGTTTTAAAAAGCGCTTTTAAGTTGAAAGAGGATGTTGCATACAGCTGATAGAATTTAACTTTAGTTTCAAATCATACATCTGTCGGGATATCTGCATTACCTAGCAGTATGCGAAATTTTTCGGTGATATCAATTACAAGAATAAAAAAAAACACAAAAAATTATATCAAAATCTTTTAATAAATAAAAAAAAAAAAAAATATGCTTAATACAATATTATTTTAAATATTGAAATGGTATGTATATAAGGAATAAATAATTATTACAAATAAAGCTCAAGTAGGTGTATAGGTGTTCTCAATAATAGCAAACATTATGTCATAAGTTAACACCTCACAAAAAAAATTGCAGATCGATAAAATCAGATTCATAAGTGTGTGTTTGTATCTATTTTTAAACATGTCAATTAGGCACTCAACAATTAAATATAGCGGTCTCATTTCTGGGAAATAAAAATATTGTTTCTTTTTCACTTCAATCGGTTACTATATCTTACAACAAACACATATACTTTTCAAGCTAATATTAATAAAATATTCATATTACAATGAAACATCATGGAGATTACAGTACCTTGTCACATGCCGCTCCATGTTCACTAGTTACGATATACAGACTAAACATATATATTTATTTTTAATATATTATACTTAAGTTAACTAATTAAGGAATCTAGTTTGGGTGTCGACTTAAAATTAATTACTTAATGCACACAAAATTAAAAATACTGAAAAGTGGAGAAAATACACTTGCAATTAAATGTCCCAAAAAATTTGAAAAATTATACAGGACACTTAATACTCAATAAATATTTCTTAAGTTGAAGCACTAGAAATAGGATTGCCAATTGAAATTTGTTCAAATAACTGAACAAATCTCGATCTTGCCCTTAGTTTGATATGTACTTAAAGCTACTCTACTTTTTCCATTATCGTGTTTCAATTTAAAATATTGCAGTATACCTAGTTATGCATTATTTTTTTCAATTTTGGTAATCATCACTGGATAATCCAATATTTATTTTGAAAATTACACAACTGGAACAATCGTCGAACTGTTTCATGCTAATCTTAGACTAAAAATTAAGAATATCCAGGTACTTGATTTTTTCAAGAGGAATAAACATTTTTTTGACCATATAAACGACGATTGTCCACAAATTTTTACATTTTTAAACATCTAGGGTTTGGCAAAAATCTATTGGAAAGAGAATTGGATTTTTGATGTTTTTGGCTTGGTTTTTGGTGGATATTTTGTATTCAAGAACATACAGAAGATTTCTGAATGAAAACTTCTAGAACATTCCAATGCTTCAAAAGCATTAGGAGACCAATTAATTGAAAACTTTGGAAAGCATTTTGGAAAACTGCTGAGTGCACTAGCGCCAAGTTAGAACATTCTTAAGCATTGTAAGACGCTCTAGAGCAATTTAGAACTTGCTTCAAAAGGCTTTCAATTCAAATTGGAATCTTTAAAAATATTGTAAAACGTTACAGAACACTTTAGAACCAATGTAGAATTTCAGAAACATTCTAGAACAGACCAGAACACTTCTGAACATTCGACAACATTTAGGAAGGCTTTTAGAACACTTTACAAATCTTTGAAATTATGGAAACAATCTAGAACTGGAAGCTTTCAGCATATCTTAAAAATCGTCAAGATACTTTAGAACTAGCTTAAAACCTCCCTGAACTTATTAGAACACTCTTGAACAATTATTCAGAATTTCAATTAGAAGTTTCAAAAAGCGCTCAAGCATATTCCAGAGATTTCTGATAATTTCTAGAACATTCCGGCCCTTCAACAGCATTAGTTATGGGTTTCAGAAATTTATTTTAATTTTCTCTCTTTAGGAATATATTTGAGAAACGGTTTTGTTTGTCATTTGTTGGCAATTTTTGTTTACTTTTTTTAGGATTTTTCTGTATATACTTGTGTAAATTTATATAGAAATATCCATCAAAAATCTATCCAAAAACCAAAGAGTAGAGAAAATTGTTTGCCAACCCTGTAATAAATACTATGAACACTTTAATTTTTAATCTTGGTAAAAACCTAATAAACATTCAGTCTGTCAAGGATAAAATAAGTAATGTGAAAAGAAAAATTACGTTGATTTTTTAAATCATTAATCATAATATGCCATATCTAATTTGGATTATTGTATAAGTAAAATAAAGCAACAAATAAAAAAAGATTTTACTTAAATAAAATAAATATAAATTTGATTTAAAATAAAAAGCGCCAAGACAAAATCACATTCTTTCTCAATAATATTAAGTCCTCATCAATTTTTACTTCAAACATCGAATAAGTAGTCTAACAATGTTGTGGTTTAAGAGATAGAAAATACATAGTTGCATTCAAACAATACTTCAATATCTTTTACTCCCACAACACTTTGAAAAAAGTATATACTTAGTGTATTAATAATACAATTAAACCTAAAGAGCGAATATTTTCTAAAATTACTTTGGTCTGTATAAAATACTAAAAAAAAAGGAAATCAGAGTTTTTCTACTATATGTATAGCACAAAATACAACGAGGAAAAATTATTTTTGCACCTCTACTGTTTTATTGACTTCAGATCATTGATGCATATTTTGTAAATATAATGCAAAATCCATTTTCAATCTTGCAAAAACTAAAAAATAATATCTTACTTATCACTGCTTGATTCGGAATGATCAGAATTATTGTTAACTGCCTCATCGATCTTTTCTTTTTTAATCAAAGTTATGTCAGGATGATTGGGCAGAGCAGCTTTCCTCGACGAACTGTCTGAAGAACTTACCTGCAAAAACAAACATTTAAATCAAACACACAAAAATATAACTGAATTCTTACCTTATTTTTGAACGGATTGCTACTATTGGGAATGTCAGGTAAAATCGAGTCGGTTTCCTCATCGGAAGTGCCCTCTTCATACGAACCATCCTTGCCCGAATACGAACTAGAATTGTTAAGCATTTCTTGATTATCTATTTGGGACATAGATATCAAGTAGTTCGATAGGGTCTGAGGTGTGACGTTGAGTTGTTCAGCCGCTCGGAACAAAGTGATTTCTTTGCGTTTTAATTTTAGGAGAACATCGGTGGGGCCTTGTTCTGTCCAGAAATCACGCACCCTAAAAGGAATTTGTGTTAAAATAAAATTTATTTGTATTATTTGGTGCGAAATTAGGATGCAATTAGACTAAATGAAGTAGAAATATTTTGTGTCTATAAACTACTATTAGTTTACAAAAATTACTTATCATGCTACTATGAAATAAATAAGTAAAACAATTTAATCTACTTCAACTTTAAGAAATCGTCAAGTAAGTACCTTCTATTAAATAGTGGATGAAAACTGTAAAATAATGAAAAAACGATTATAATAAAACTTCAAACCCAATAATTCATTAACTCACCTATAAGGATGTTTGAGACACCCATAAGAATCCCGATACCTGCCATACAAAGTCCCATAAGAAACCCCCAACAATTCCGCTGCAACTTTCATTTCCAAACTTTTCGTTTTGATCGCGTCCATTACCCGTTTGGTAAAGGATTCTTCCCAAAACTGTTGCCTTCTGCCAGTGTTCAGGTACTCGTTCATTTTGATTACGTCTGGCCATTCTTTTTCTATTGCCGGCGTCAAAAACGTGTTTCCGGTACTGGACGTGGTTACGTTTCCTGTATTTCCTGATGCAGATTTGGTTGCTGTACTGGAACTGCCTTTGTCGGTTGTGAAGGAGGTGTTGCTTTGTTCGTCGTCGTCGTCCTGGGGCTGAACAGGAATTTGAAGTTTAATTATATGAAAAGGTTCAACCTGGTTTTAAAGACAGTTGATACTTTAGGATTGGTGAGGTGGAAGTAATTTTTAAAGTTTTGAATGTGTGAGGATTGACATTTCCTTCTCTTGGAAATTCAGAAACAGGTCGTTTTAATTTGAAAATTTGTCTAAGAACCCCACTGTACACAATGATAAACGTATGTACCGGGTGATTGTCTATATTTTGCACCCACACTTACCTCACCTGTTTGAAGGGATACCCAGAAATGTCAAATGTGAAAGTTGTACGTAATATATCAGAAAGTTTCCAATGAAGTTAGTTACAAGTCTACAGGATGTGTCACAAAAGTGTGGCAAAACAAAGTAAATTTTTTTTTAAATGGAACACCCCATATGTTATTGAACCATTGGATTGGTCTGTCAGACCTGATTCCAAATAAACTAACTGGGTTTTTTAGGTTTATTCCTAATAGTCCGGGAAAAAATAAGAAAAAGGGGGTGAAATAATTGCATATTTATTGAAAAAGGTGGAGTAGATGCCACCAGCAAAATATAGAGGTAGTCATTGAAGTAAAAAATCCATATTATTCCTTCAAAATGGGATATTTACACCATTTCAACATCAATTTCGGAAAAAGTAACTTTTATTTAGGAAAATGTCAAGTCATTTCCGGAAAAAGTCAAATTAATTTCGGAAAAAGTAAAGTTAATTTCGGAAAAAGTAAATTCAAATTCGGAAAAAATAAATTCAAATTCGGCAAAAGTAAGCTATGAATAAATTTACATTTTCCGAATTTGAATTTCCTTTTTCCGAAATTAACTTTACTTTTTCTGAAATTGATTTGACTTTTTCCGAAAATAACTTTACATTTTCCTAAATAAAAGTTACTTTTTCCGAAATTGAGGTTGAAATGGTGTAGAGGCTGGACTATGAGGAATAAACCTGAAAAACCTAATACATATATTTGGAATCAGGTTTGGAAAGCTAATCCAATAGGTCAACAATATACAGGATGTTCTATTCAAAAAAAAAAGTACAACTTTGCTTCACCACACTTTTGTGACCCATTCTGTATACTTGTAACTAACTTCTTTGCAAAGTTTCTGATATTACCTACAACTTTCCTGTTTGACATTTCTGGGTATCTCTTCAAACAGGTTAGATAGGTGTGGGTGCAAAATATAAACAATCGCCCGATACATATGGATACCAGACCACATAGACTATCTAGCCAGGCATTATTTTGCCATGAAGTAGAAAAAGAGACGATAGCTTTGTCCCAACTCAGCAGGGAACCGTACATTTCACATTTCACCGTTAAGATTCTGAGTAAAACATGAAATTCGTATACAGAGTGGTTCCGAAACCGTTCTTGGGACGGTTTTTTGGTGGATTGGAACCGACCTTCTATGGACTTTAGATCCTGAATTCTGAGTTATTATTTTACAAACTTCCTGGTGATACTGAGAGAAGATTCTTTGGATCCTTGTTCTTTTGCAAATGTTGTTTTTTTCAGTCAAAATTGAAAATTTCTTGATGCTTTTATGGAAAAACTCTAGAGGATTCACATTCTGAGTCATTATTTTACGAATACTCCAATTCTTCTCTACAAAGACGTTCTTGGGACGGTTTTCTGCCGGGTTGGAACCGGCCTCCTATGGACTTTAGATCCTGAATTCTGAGTTATTATTTTACTAACTTCCTGGTGATACTGAGAGAAGATTCCTTGGATCCTTGTTCTTTTGCAAATATTGTTTTTTTCAGTCAAAATTGAAAATTTCTTGATGCTTTTATGAAAAACTCTAGAGGATTTAGATTCTGAGTCATTATTTTACGAATACTCTAATTCTTCTGTACAAAGACGTTCTTGGGACGGTTTTCTGGCAGGTTGGAATTGACCTTCTATAGACTTTAGATCCTGAACTCTGACTTATTATTTTACAAACTTCCTGGTGGTACTGAGCGAAGATTCTTTGGATCCTTGTTCTTTTGCAAATGTTGTTTTTTTCAGTCAAAATTGAAAATTTCTTGATGCTTTTATGGAAAAACTCTAGAGGATTTACATTCAGAGTCATTATTTTACGAATACTCTAATTCTTCTCTACAAAGACGTTCTTGGGACGGTTTTCTGGCAGGTTGGAATTGACCTTCTATAGACTTTAGATCCTGAACTCTACTTATTATTTTACAAACTTCCTGGTGGTACTGAGCGAAGATTCTTTGGATCCTTGTTCTTTTGCAAATTTTGTTTTTTTCAGTAAAAATTGAAAATTTCTTGATGCTTTTATGAAAAACTCTAGAGGATTTACATTCTGAGTCATTATTTTACGAATACTCTAATTCTTCTCTACAAAGACGTTCTTGGGACGGTTTTCTGGCGGGTTGGAACCGACCTTCTATGGACTTTAGATCCTGAATTCTGAGTTATTATTTCACAAACTTCCTGGTGATACTGAGAGAAGATTCTTTGCATCCTTGTTCTTTTGCAAATGGTGTTTTTTTCAGTCAAAATTGAAAATTTCTTGATGCTTTTATAGAAAAACTCTAGAGGATTTACATTCTGAGTCATTTTTTTACGAATAGTCTAATTCTTCTCTACAAAGACGTTCTTGGGACGTTTTTTTGGCGGGTTCGAACCGACCTTCTATGGACTTTAGAATCCTGAGTTATTATTTTGCAAACTTCCTGGTTATACTGATAAACTCTGTCTAACCAAAGTTGAACGTTGAGGGTCACTCACTCATCCTTGTATAACCATAGGATTCACACGTTCGGACCTATTTTGGTTTGATAAACACAGTGCGTGTGCAATAAAGACAGCAGCAAAAAGCAACGTCTGTGATATATTCGAGTAAGTGACCTTCAACGTTCAACTATTGTTAGGCAGAGTTTAGAAGATTCTTTGGATCCTTGTTCTTTTAAAAATGTTGTTTTTGTTTTTCGTCAAAATTGAAAATTTTAGAGCCTAATTTCACTGAAATCGGATGACAATTACCGGACCTGTGAGCCAAAAACTGAATCAGTGTCATTCTTGGAAAATTTTCAATGTTCCATGAATTCAATTTTGATGCTCCTCAGCTGTAAAATTGTCAAAACAAATATACAATTTTGTCTAGCAAAGTAAACACAAAAACTATCACAAAAACCTAATAGAAATTTTCAAAAACCTGGATTTTTGATAACTCTGGTGATTTTGTGTTTGGTTAAATCTAGATAATGATAACTGAAACAGAAAGAGCTTCTCCTGATTCTAGAAAAATATTTGATTATTAATTCTGATGCCTATATTCCTTTATTGGTTTAAGATAGGCCTGATTCTTAACTAATTCTGACAAAGGCTTCAACTGAATGGTTGACGTACCAGAAAAGAAAAATCTCTATTACCAGTTGGAACTCAAATCAGTTTCAAACAATGTTATATTGTCAAATTACAATAATGGATTATAAGTTCAGATTGGAGTTATCAGTAAGGTACAATTATGTATTATTTTTATTTGAGATAATTTCCAAACTATCAAGAAATCTCATCCTGAGACAAAATTAAAGGATTTGAATTAGAAATAAACTCAGGTTCGAAGATTCTATTCTTACCGTTTCCTTTTTGATTTTGACAGCCGGTTCGTCAGTATCCGTATTATTGCCGTGTTCGTCTTCCCATATTTGTAAATCATGTTCACTGCTCGACATTGCATCGTTCGAGTAACATTCGTCTATATTACTCACGTTGCCTGATACGTTGGTTATTTTGGGGTTGAATTGGGTATCGTAATCGTCTGAAAGAAAAAAACATGCTTTGTAAGGAATCGTAATGAATTTTCTTTAGATATTACAAGAATGAAAATAAAATAATTATTAAAGGAAAGTGTATATTATAGAGACCCTTTTTATAGGGATTATAATCAAATTTAGAAGTTTTTATATGTTAATCTAGGAGCATAAAAGCTATTTTATAGATTTTGGTTGGTGAAATTCAAACTAAAAAAATAAAATTCAAAATTCAAATTTATGATGCTTAAGAAATCATAAATTCAGTTTCCACTCATTATAGTTAGAATTCCAGAGAACTAAAGTTTGTTTTTTTTTTTTGAAAATACATAAAATCTCGCATAAAATCAATAATTCTAAAAGAGAAAATTTCCAGTAACATGACGCAAATCTGAAGTTTCAACTCTGGAAAATCTGGTATAGAGAAAATAGGTCATGCAAAAGTTCGAAAAACGATCGATAAATCTAATAAAACAAAAAATAGGTATTTTACGGCTGGAACTTGGAGGGTCTTGAAATTTTTTCAAAATTGCATTTTGTATTATTATTTCAATATACATTATTTAGGTGCAAAATAAATACTATTTTTTTTTTAATGTTGTTGGTTTATGATACCTATGTTGCTTTTTATTTTGGTGAAAATCACCAATACTGTAATTGGAATTTCCCATCTGAAAGGCAAGGCCGAAAAACAACGCGTCAATTTATCAGAAAATTCCATTATGGGAATAAAGATTGCCGTGCACAAAAAATGAAGCGCAATTTTTTTCATCGGGGGACAATTTTTACCCCTAGCCGACATGGCGGAGGGTGAGTTTTTTATTTTCCCTTTTTTTTTTAGGGAGGAGTGTATGTGAAAGGGAGCCAACTGAACTGGCCCAAGGTTTTTTTTTAAAAAAAGTTTTTTCTGGAAGGGAAAAATATTAAAATGTTGAAGGGTGGTTATAGGACAAACCTGTCTTTCCAAATCAAAAATGTTTCGGTTATAATTACGTTTTTAAATAGATTGAAATAAAAGGTGAAATGAATGGTTAATACAAAAGCCAAAATAGAAAGATAGCCAACTTCCCAAGTCCAAGTAATGAATGGACTCAAGGTCTTGATTTATTAAATTTTCAATTTACCCCCAAAGGAGGGTTGAAGCAACAGTTTGGGAATTTTTTTAAATTGAAAATGTTGATATTTGCAGGATTTTTAAAAAATTAAGATTTTTTTTCTAGATTTTTTTTCTGTTTGAAATGGTCATTTGAAGATGATGTTAGATTGTTTTATGACTAATTTAGACTCGCTCTTCCCAATGAAAAATTTGAAAATATGAAAAATATAAAAAACACAAAATTCAATTTTTTTCAAGAAGTGGATGGACTCTTATTTCAAAATCTTGTCGGGATTTTTTAAAAATTGAGTTTTTTTTTTCTGTTTGAAATGTTGATTTGAAGACGATGTTAGATTGTTTTTTGACTAATTTAGACCTGCTCCTTCGATTGAGAAAGTCAAAATTCGAAAAATTTGAAAATTGCAAATTTTGATTTTTGTCAAAGAGTACCCCCTAGAGTACCCCCTTTGAATTTTTTCGTCTTTTAAAGTCTTTAAACTAGAGATGAAACTGATATCCGGAAACTATCTGATATCCGGGATATTCAAAAACTCTTACACAATTCCCTAAAATCAAATTAAATACAAACATTTTGTAATGACAAAATGTTGAGTTTTTTCAAAACGATGTAAGATATATACAGTGTGTTTCAAAAGTCTGGCAACGGTCAAACATTTCCATAGCGGCTTGAAATATAATTACGAAATTTTATGCATATTGGTAATTAGTGATGCCCGATTCAATGATGACATCAACAATGTTGCCAAGTTTACCGGTTTTCAGATAATATAGGTAACTTCGTTTTTTGAAATAGGGATACCACTTTATTTTCATTGCAATAAATTCGGCGTTATATTGTTATTAAAACCTATTGATATCATGTCCCTATTTTACACGGTTTCTGAAATATGGCAACACAGCCTTTTTGTTCAAAAGTCTGGGAACGATCAAATATTTCCAGAGCGGCTTGAAATAGAATTACGAAATTTTCTGCATATGGCTAATTAATGATGCTCGATTCAATGATGACATCGACAATGTTGCCAAGCTTGCCGGTTTTCAAATAATGTAGGTAATTGGTTTTTTTTAATAGGAACATAACTTTATTTTCATTTGCAATAAATTCGGCGCTCTATTGTTATCAAAACATCTTGATATCATGTCCCTATTTTACACGGTTTCTGAGATATGGCAACACAGCCTTCTTGTTCAAAAATCTGGGAACGGTCTTGAAATAAGATTACTTTTTATTTATTTATTTATTTATACTCCTACATACACCTTTAACAGGTACTTACAATACAAGAGTGCTTACTGATACCCTAACATCCAATATGGCTAAATTACAAAGAAACTCAAAAAGTTAGACTTATACTAAGTTACACATCGAATATAAAATATAAAAAATAAAAAATATAAAATAACAATCACAGAGATTTATAAAAAAAAAAACTAGTAAAACTTTGGTATTAAAAAAAACATCTTATGGCAAAGGTATTTGTATTAAATAAATCAATATCACATTCCCTCACCAATCTGTTACATTCGCGAAGCATATTGTTTAGAGGCGAACAGCTCAATACATTATCCTGAAATATCTTTTGTTCAATATTTCTAAGCACAATTTTAGGAACATGGAATGCAATTCTATTAATTAAATAACTGTGCCTGTACTTGACGCTATTTAAAATATGACATACAAAGATAACACACTGCATACTTCTCCTGGTACCCAATTTTTTAATATTAAATTCACTTAGCATTGAACTATAAGAGATCATATAAGGATATACACTATGAGTCCTAATAAATAAATATCTTAAAAATCTTTTCTGGACTTTTTCAATCATATCACAGTTAACTTCTGCATGCGGTGTCCATATTACACAAGCATACTCTAAGTGCGGTCTGACCAGCGCATTGTATAGTCTAATGACAGACCCGATGATCATTTAGAAATGCTGTCAAATGCCACTTCTCTTGACACGGCTAAGTAGTGGGTATCACCCAATTCCCGTATCTGAAGAATCACGACAGAAAACAGCGTTCGTTACTCCAGATGAGCAGTACGAATACTTGCGTATGCCATTCGGATTAGTGAATGCTCCCGCTATTTTCCAAAGAACGGTTAACCACATTCTAGGAACTGTCAATCATATAACTGCATTAACTTATCTTGATGGCATTCTCGTGCCAAGTTTTAATTTTGATTCTGGCTTAGAAGTATTAAAAGAAATCTTAAAAGCAATTAGAATTTTTGGAGAAACATTCAAGTTGAATAAATGGTATTTTTTTAAGAACGAAATTGATTATTTGGGGCATGAAATTAGTGTAGAAGGAATTCGTCCTAGATCAGAGAAAACTAAAGCAGTGGAACAGTTCCCAACTCCAAGAAACGCCCATGAACTCGCAGGCTATTTTTGGAAATATGTGAAAAACTTTGCCCAAATAGCACGCCCATTAACAGCGTTAAAGGGGGTGTGACCCAAAAATGAAGTTTTTAGTGCAAAAAAATCTAAGAATAAATATTTAAACCGCATCTTGCTACGATGGTCCTTTTTCGAGTCGATTTAAAGTTATTACTAGGTGTTTGTGACGTCACCCTGGATTATCAGGGACAGTATTAACACCTGTAAGAATTTTTCAAAACAAGAGACAATTATCTCCTAGAGCGAATTGCAGCCACTCAAAAGTATAGGGTACGGTTCACTGACGACTAAACGAACAGAAAACTGCGATTTCGGCGGTTGTGACATCACAAGCTCTTGCATAATTTATCTTCACAAGGAGTTTTCTCAGAGACTATTTTGAATATAAGACTGCGGTTTTCACGAGAGATCCTAGAATTTTTTTCTTGATTTAAGTGGCTTAAATCGTTTTTTAGGGTCACACCCCCTTTAACAAGGAAAAATTAGGCTTTTACATGGAAAGCAGAACAACAATATTTCCAAATTCACAAAGACCATTCAACAAAATGACTTATTCAAGCTAATTAAAACCCACAGTCACAGACTGAACTCCATACAGACGCTTCAAGTCCAGGCCTTGTAGGTATTTTGATGCAATGGCAATGGCAATTCGAAACCGGTTATGTTCTATAGTAGAAAAACAACAAAACAGGAACAGAGTTACCATTTATATGAATTAGAAACGTTGGCGGTTATATGCTGCCTTCATAAATTCAGGGTGTACATTATAGATATTAAGTTTAAAGTGGTGACTGACTGCAATTCACTACGAAATTCTATAACCAAGCGTGACCTGATACCTAGAATAGCTCGTTGGTAGTTGATAGCATAGGCATTTAATTTCAATGTAGAATATCGGCCCGGAACAAAAATGGCTGTAGATGCATTAAGCAGAAATCCAGCTAAATTTTAGCAGTCAATGTAACAGATGACCATTGGATTTTATCAGCTCAACTACAAGATGAACGTTGCAAATATTTAATAGATATTCTAGCTAGAAAACCTACGGATGGTGATGAAAAGGAATCTGTCATAAAAGAGCAACATCTTTTCAAAATGATTGAACATGGGTTGAAGTGATACCTATGTGCCTAAAAGAGCAAAACGAGCAATACTATCATATTACCATAACAAAAGAGGTCACTTAGCTACAGAAAAGACTCTTAAAGCAATAAGTGAATACTACTGATTTCCAAGAATACGGAAATATGTACAACGGTACATCTTCTTGTTTGGAATGTATAACAAAACACCCACAGGAAAACAACAAGGTTTTCTACATACGATCAGAAGGGGGCCAATACCTATGGATACAATAATTCATTTTGGTCATCTTGGACCTTTTGTGAAAAGTTCAAAGGGTAATTGTTACCTGATACTTGCAGTTGATGGATTTACGAAGTATGTCTGGATTAAAGCTGTTGCAAACACCCAGGCGGTGCCTCTAGTAAAGTTTTGCGAGGAAATTTTCAAAACATTTGGAACACCAAGACGATTAATATGTGATCGTGGAACGTGTTACACCAGTAAGATGTTCCAAGAATTTGTTGCTTGGTATAAGAGTGGTACTAGAGCAGGTAAAGCGCATAAGGAGTAGGAACGCGCAATTCTGCTTATGAAACTAAAGTGAAGCCAAATTTTTGGCAGGTGTCTGGCACCAAAATACAGGTAAAGCATTGAATCGCCTATACCGCCATTTACTAAAACAATGAAGTTTCAAAAAAAAAATTGTTGAGATTTCGTGTCCTAATGGTCCTTTGGGTGTACCCCCCAAAGTGCATACACCAAATTATTCTGAGATTTGGAGCCAGATTCTATGAAAAAAGGCACTCAAAAAATTTGAAAAATTGCCTAACACGATTTTATTTCTGGAACTATAAGTCTAAATGAGCTGAAATTTTCAGGAATTGTAGTCCTCTACTGCCATAAGTGCCCTAAAATCGTACTGATTAAAAAAAAAATGGATACAATGATGATAAAGAAAGTATTAGGTAATCACCTGTCAAAAGATGGAATGTGGAACCCTATCGAAAATCTTCAGAAAAAAAAAACAAAAAACTAAAAACTTGAATATCTTGATATTTCAAAATTTTTAAGGTTCAATATCTCGAAATCCGCATGAGATTAAATCAAAATAAATAAAAATTATCTAATTATCAAGTACCTACTTGAGATATGTTGAGAATTGTCTAATTTGAGACTTATTCGATTCCATAAGAAGTCAAATCTGCCAATTTAGAACCAATTGAAGCCAGAATTCAATTAAGCGATAATGAGTTGACAAAAAAACACTAAAAATAGCAAGAATGTGTCAGAATGAAAATGGCAAAAAATTACATTTTCAGAATGTAAAATTCTCACCTATAGGAGGTCTCCCTCGTTTCTTTCTATGAGTTGTCCCGTTAGAGCTAGTGTTGGATTCATATTTCGGACTGTCCATGACTGTAGTGACTTGTGGGATAGCGGTTTGGACTCCATTGGTACCGGACTCGCCGGATCCTCCGGATTCTTCATCGCGCCACGATACTTCTGCCAGACCTTTTATTCGAAGTTCTTCGGCGGTTTTTAATAATGTCGCTAGATGATTCTAGAAAAAAAATACTGGATTTTATACTTCAATTCTGTAGTACTTATAACTTAAAATAACAAAGTAGTTCAAAGATCCAAGAATGTATCCATGGAAATAGTAGTCAACAATATCCAATACCTAATTATATTTCTTTTGGATAAAACAAGTTATCAAAAGTAAAAAATCCTTAATGCATTTTTTTTTTTTTTTTTGAACCCACGCCCAACTACCATGTAAAAGTCCATTATAATTGCGATATTACTTATCATTAACAACAAAAAAAACAAACCTGGTACTGTAAACCCAACACAATCTCGTTGTTACTTTAATACAACAGCAAACATTACTTCATAGCCTGGTATAACAGTACTTGTATATTTTTTTTGCGAGTTTTTAATTTAACCAATAAAACCTTGAATTTTTCGTGAAATTTTATTTTCACGTTCTTAGTTGGCCACATTATTTCAAAAAAAAATAAACCTCAGCCGATAAACAATTATTTAATTATTATTAATAACTTTTTTATGGATTTTTGCATGAGTCACAACTTTCTGGAAAACGACATTATTACAATAAATACATTGATTTATGTATTATTTCACTTGTAAATAAATATAGTATTCTATTTCGTTGATAAAGGTAATAATAATTAGGAGGTCAGGGCCAAAATAAAATAGATTTTTTTATGCTTTGTGTGGGCTAGCTAGAAAAAATACAAGACCCCCATTTTTAAAATTCCAAAATTAAAATTCACATCTGCCCAAAACTGACAGCTGCTGTTGCATAGGGTGACCTTATCTAATGTGGGTATGCTTACTCAATTTTGTAAAAAAATAAAATAAATTGACTTACAAAGGAGTGGATTTTGATGTTTTATGTGAAATTTATTAGGCCATGCAAAATGAAAATAATTGCAAAACCATTTTTATTGTAAAACACCTTGAATCATAATTGGCTTTATTCCAAAATAGTCAAAAAAAAAGACGTGAAACATAAACGCAATTATGCAAAAAAAGCTGGAAAGCAAAAATCCTTGAACGAGCTTTTTAAAATCAATTTGTTGTAAGTACATACTAAACAAAATCCAATTATTAATTCAAACATGTGAGTTTATTCAAAAATAGATTAAAAACAAAGAGATTTATAATTTGACAGTTTAAACAAAAAGAATTCCAGTAAAGAGTCAACATGTTTTTGAAGTCAATTATCAGTAGTTATTGCTAGACTGCAAAATATGTAACAACAATCAAACAATGAGTAATTATAATTATAGACATCAATTATTTGCGATAAAGAAATGTACTAAAAACAAAAATGCAGCTTTTATCACGATATTTGGAGTAGCTAATAATAAAACTGGAAACTCCTTATTGAAGCAAAAATAAAATGAAAATGCTGATTTGCAAATTGTTATTTTCTTAGAATAATTTATTTTCGCTCAATGGAAATTAACTTAAAATGAATTATTTATGAATTTGATTCAAGGTGTTATATTTTATATGCACAAATAAATAGAACTGTTACCTACTCAATCAATTTTGAAAAAAACCCAGTAAAACAGATTTTAATTAAACTAGCTCAAAACAATCAGAAACTGCATAAAGCCCAAAGTTTGCATTAAAATCGCCCTCTTGTTATGCAGAAACTGCCTAAAATTAGCATTAAAACTAGTTCAAAAGTTTCTTTAAGGGTTTCATATTGTTTAAAATAGAATTACCCATTTTATATACAGGGTGGGAAGCATTAATGGGATAAATTCTAAAAAAAACTCGTCTTGAATGATTCTAGACCTTTGAGCCTTGGTTTAGAGATTAAAAAGGATCAAGTTTCATTCAGAGAAAACAGTCTATAAAAATATCAATTACCTACATATACAGTGTAGGATATGGATTTTTTTATGTGCGATCGATCCTGCATGTCCGATAACCTAAAAGTACATTTTGACATTGGTCACGTGATCAATGTTGTGGCGGCAAATTCAAAAATTTAAACATGGAAACGCGAAAAGTGGGGTTAGAAATTTTCGTCTTATTTCTCTTCTTTCTTCACTTGGTAAGCTGATTGAGAAACTGGTGAGAATTATAGTTCTTTCATTCCTCAATCTAAACAGGTCCCTATCTGATAATCATTTTGGGTTCCAGTCTGGCAAAGGAACATCTCCCTTCGGGAAGATATCTATTTGACATCTATCAAAATTCGTTATTTCGCAGCTCACTACCTAGAACCTATTTGCGTCTTTTATTAAGCTATAAAAAAATAAAGGATAGGTATAATCGGTGAACGCTTGTTAACTAGTACAATGAACCAAAATGTTTGTCTCCGTATTGCCAAATCTTTCACAAAATCTGTATCACGTCTGTTTGCACAAAAATCTCAAACTGGTCAAAGTTAATTTCGTTGGTTGAGAACAGTCAGAAAACTAGTTACAACCAAGGTTACAACCAATGAAATTCACTCTGATTTGTGATTTCTGTGCGAACAGACCTACTATAAACCATTACCTATAAAGATAATCAGGCCTATAATTCATCATTTTCTGTTATCCTAACATTCCTAACAACAAGTTATCTGCTGGGTTATCTGTCACTGTTTATTCTATACATCAAAAAAGAGACATGTATAGGCTGTTGAGCTTTAGCCTTAAGGCCTGAATGACGAGATACAGAGTGTCTAAAAAATGATCATCAACCAACATTTTTTGGCCCTAGTTATGAACCTGTCGAGGAACCTGTATTTCATAAACTAAAAGTAATTGGGCTACATTGTAAATGAGTCTTCAATGGGCATAAAAAATGGCAACTTTTTTCTAATTTAACCGACCTTGTAGCTCTTACCGTTATGGATATAGCAATAGTGATATCACTTAAAATATACACTATACACCCTGTATAAGTATGTACAGACAGGGTTATTGGTTATATGTAAATGTCACCCCCTCTAGCTTTTTTATTTGACATTTAAAAAAAAAGGTGTCCCAAATAAAAGTTTTATGGTTGAAATTAAATTTTTTGAAAAACTCACTTTCGCATATACAGGGTGTTCCAGAAAAGCTGGTCATATTCCAAATTTCCTATTTTAAATGGAATACCCTGTATATTATTGAATATTTGGATTTTTCGTAAAATTCTGAGCAGATTTCATGTGATATATCCTATACCTAAGTTCAACTGTTTTGAAAATATTGACAGTTGAAAATTGACTTTTTTGCAACTTTGACAGGCTGTAAAGCCTAAACGGTTAATTTTAGAGCAAAACCGATTTTACATTTTTATCTTGGATTTTAAAAACTATGAGTTAACCCCAATATTTGACATCAACTTTGAATTTAATCCATGACTAAGAATTCCAATTAAATTTATTCTTCGGTTAAATTCAAAGTTGGTGTCAAATGATAACTTGTGAAAATTTTAGAAAAAAATATAAGATCGGTTTTGTTCAAAAGTTAACCGTTTAGGTTTTACAGCCTGTCAAATTTACAAAAAAGTCAATTGTCAACTGTCAATATTTCCAAAACAGTTGAACTTAGGTATATGGTATATCACATAAAATCTGCTCAGAATTTGACGTAGTATTCTAATATTAAATAATATACAAGGTATTCAATTTAAAATAATATAATAAAGTTAAAGCACAACCAGCTTTTTTGAAACACCCTGTATATGCAAAAGTGAGTTTTTCAAAAAATGTAATTTCAACCATAAAATTTTTATTTGGGACACCTTTTTCTAAAATGTCAAATAAAAAAGATAGAGAGGGGTGACATCTCGGGTGACATTTATAACCAATAACCCTGTACTACCTACCAAGGGGCGGTTAACTGGTCAAAATCCCAGAAAATCTCATGAGATCTACTTAAAATCCCTAAAAGTCTTTAAAATCCTTAAAAATTTAACAAAACTCTACAAAACCTCTGGAAATCGCATAAAATCCTACAAAATCTCTGGAAATCGCATAAAATCCTACAAAATCTCACATGTTGTTGGTACCCTGAACTACATGAATAAATACATGGAAAAATACACAGATGTAATACAGGTATAAGAAACTCTAAACACTTTTCAAAAACCCTTAAAATGCTCCAGAATCACCTAAAAATTGTGTGAAGATTCTCAAAATACTATAAAATCAATACCTAAATCTCGCCCCAAAAATTTAAAAATTAAAATATGTGTACCTACATATTTTATGGAATTAACTGAACCTTGGAGCGGTTGATTGGTCAAAATCTGTGTACAAGTTGGTCTAAATCCTAGAAAATCTCGTAAGATCTACTTAAAATCCCTGAAATATATCTTTAAAAATCTAACAAAACAATTGGTCAAATGGAATTGTGGCAACAAGCGCATGAATATCAAGCTTTAGGCAATGAGAGGGCGTTTTCAGTCACGTGATATTTTGTTAAAATTTGCTATTTTTACCTATTAAATAATCTGATTAAAATCTTGCAAAATATTGTTCATTCTTGCTTGCATTCATGTACCCAGAATTCTACTTAATTACCTTAGAATTCCATGTAATTCACCTAGAATTCCATATGATTCCCCTAGTCGAGCCCCTAGTATTTCGATAATTCCACAGAATTTTTTTGGAATTCAACGATATTGTACAGGATGTTTGTGTTTGTTTATAACTGGAACAGTAACTTTTTTATTATTGATAATAAAGGCATGTGTAAATTGGAAAATTCCTTGGTAAATTGCAACTATCTTAAGCACTTTAACAACTGTTTTCTGTTACCCTTGATATTCAGCGAGGTAAGTATACAGGGTGTGGCAATAAAGACATTTTTTTAAAATAAAACACCCCGTATAAGAATTTTTGAATTATTTAAGTTTTACAAAAGTACCCAACACTATTTAAATATCTTTTCTAGTTCCTGAACATTAGAAAAAAATGATTTTTTTGGCGCACCCTGTATAGCTATAGCGACCAAAAAATAGCGATGTAGCGCCAAAGATCGTTGAAATAGAAAAAAAAAATTATATACAAAACTTGAAAGTTTTTTTCTATATTATCTT